GTCTACTACAGGCAGTCAACTATCCCAGCCACTATCACACAGGACACTAATGTAAAGCAAGCTAGGCAACCGATTACAAAGCAATATAATTAGGAAGAAATAAAACATAAGTCCTCCTTGTAAACTTGAAGCAACACATTTTCAAATAGATCTGTTGTTTTTTATCTTTATGGTATCATTTGTTCAGTGATGTTCATGAAAACTAAGCAAACCACAAGATCATTATTTAAGAGAAAAAAAAAAAAAGAAAATCAATCATCTTTTCACAACACTCATTAATACTTCCTATAAGGTCTCTCAACTACTCAAGCAATTATCAGCCTAGGCTGCTATAGGCAGACTTGGTTGAACCCAGACTGATTCAAGTCTCAAGTCACTAGTAGTACTTGAAGAAGTCTTCTAATGTCCATAATCACAACAAATCTCAGCACCCCATTTTCCTAAAATACTCACATGGATATTTTGGTACCTATACACATGTATCTCAAACCAAAGTTTTAAATTCTCTTATCATTAAGCTTACATTAAGAAAAACGTACTTCCTACAACTACTGTGTTTTCTCTGTCAAAGTGTAATCACTTTGCCTGGCACTAAACTCTGCTTCTTAGTAGTTTTAATCCTGCCATGAAGAAAGTGACAGATCTAACAAGGTGGTTTTGTCTTTTCAACTTGAAATAATGAGATTTAGATACCAAATAGGTAACAGAAAGTAAGCTGTCTCAATATCTTCCCATTCCAATAAAGGAATTCCTCATTTATATTCAAGACATACAATCTTTATGTGTTCATACTACTACCTCACTTCTAGTTCAGCTGCTTTCTTCACATTTCAATTGCAACTTATTTCCACAACAACTCAAGAGTGAGTTTACATTTACATAACCAAAGTGAAAACTGGAAATGCACACATTTCAAGTGATGTGAACCTAGCTGTTGTTCAGTATCCTAACAAAACATTTTCCAAATAATGGAACTCCATTCTCCAGGCTACTTTAATTCTACTTCCGACTTAGTCTTACAAGAGGACAGGAGGAAAGCCAATAACCCCACTTGGCAGCTCAACTGACCAATTTAACTAACCTAGAATTAGAACTTATTGTTTAGGCGGGTTTTTTGTTGTTGGGTTTGGTTGAGGTTTTTTTCCTTCTGGAAAACATTGGAACATTTTTACTCTTTTTCTCTTTTAAGTAACAGATACAGCTTTGATGATATTCTCTGCAAGTGACAGGAAAAAGGAAGCATTTGTCATTCTAAATTCTGTAGAGAGAAAAATATTTTGTCTGCTCCTATACACCAAACAAAGTTTTTTCCTTGTTCATTGATCACGAAGCCCACTGTGTTTCACTGAAAAAAAAAAGTGCCTCCTGTTCAAACAAAGAGGAGCACTGGAGATCTCTTAACAGACCCTTTCCTTATTAAAGAGTGTATCATGTACAGAGGCAGGATTCAAAGAACTCTTCCCAATACCAAAGAGCCACAATAGATGCCGGAACATTTTCCAGCATATGTCACAGCCCAGGCCGAACCAGATAATCTCCACAAGTAAATACAAAAATGAGAATGTCAGTTGTTAAATACGCTCCAAGAGTTTTTCGATAAGCATTTGACATGTCCTTCTACTACTTTAAGATTTTCGGTGGCTGCAAGAATAAGATCAGTGTAACCTCCCCGTTATCAAAAATTCTCAGCATCGGAAGTCATCACTACACCACTTATGAGTTTATCAACTTTATGTCATCCCTCTATACTGAAACACAAACATGGAAGTTGACTATTAATATAGCTGGCAGGGTCTATCCAAAACAGTAAGATTACTACACAAGTACCCATTTGTAACTACTGTGTTGAAGTCTACTGTAATCTGTCATTTTGCTTTCAATGGGATTTTTTCCTGAGAACAATAAAGCTCAGTCCTTCTTCCAAGAAGAAATCCACCAAGGCCAGCATCCTGACTCGACAAGGAGCTTCACACTCATTGCTGTCACGTGAAACAGGTTGCCTTGGGAGCATCAAGCCCTCCAGAGGGGACACAGCCCCCTGTTCGGACTCTCTGTCCACAGAAACGCAGCTCCGAGAGCTCTTTCAGGGATGTCTGCTGCAAATCACACCTCCTCCTTCGCTCTCATTAAATCAAACACACCGAACAGCATGCACCGACCGCGAGCAGCACTGATTACGCCGTTTCCCACTTCCCTCACGGACTTCCTTTAAAACCCAATGAACACTGCTTTTACTACTATTATTACTACTGCCATCATTATTATTTTTCAGACACTAAATCGGCCATCGCCCTCATCTTTCCAGCGGTGAGTCTGCATTTTCCTTGTTCGCCGCTCCTTTTTAGGCATCCCAACGGAGCAAATGCCCAGCCCTGCCGCCCCGCCCGGGAGCGGTGCCCG